ACCAGGTTAGGTTTAAGCTACCAGGTTAGGTTTAAGATACCAGGTTAGGTTTAAGATACCAGGTTAAGTTTAAGATACCAGGTTAGGTTTAAGATACCAGGTTAGGTTTAAGATACCAGGTTAGGTTTAAGATACCAGGTAAGGTTTAAGATACCAGGTTAAGTTTAAGATACCAGGTTAGGTTTAAGATACCAGGTTAAGGATAGGTTTGAATATAAAGGTTAAGGTTAGGGTTAAAGATTGATATTAAAGGAAGGTTTAAAAGTTAATGAGGGGTTGAAGATTTAGATTAAATTTTAGTTCTTGTTTCAGAGTGGAATCTTGATATGGTAACTAATCAAACAAATCTTCATTTTTGAAAAGGGTTAACATAAGAAGGTTTACTATCAAGGTAACCATTAGGTTTCAGATTCAGGTTAGGTTTAAGATTGAATTTAATGTTATGGTTAAGATTAAGATTCAGATTAGAGTTAAGGATGGGTTAAAGAGTAAAAATATGTTTGAGTTAAATTGATGATAAATTAAGGTTGTGATTTAGGTTTAAGTTATGGTTAAAGTTTAGTTTATGGTTAAGAGATAGATTAAGGATAAGCTTGAGGTTTATTTGAGGTTTGAAGATTAAGATTGACGTAAAAGTGAAGGTTTACTTCTAGGTTAAGATTCAAATTAAGGTTTGAATTTGGATTACATATAATATTTAGTTTAAGATTAAGAACAAATGTTAAAGTGGAATGCCAGGCCAACTCTTTCTTTTATAGATCTTTGTGGCATCCTTTTTAAAGAATGGTATGAGGCATTAAAAGGCCGATATTAGCTCTGATTTTTTCTTTTGTATATTTTTAAAGAAAAATAAAGAAAAAAGTATTTATATTCAAATCAGATGTTTTCTACTTAAAAGTTTGCTGTAAATGAATGCATCATATAAATGTCTAATAAAATATGCAAAGAAATGCTGCAAAGACTTTTTAAATTAATTTTATACCAATTATTTATGAAATTGAAATTCATCATTTGTGAAATATTTTTAAACCTATGGTTAAAAACACCATGAAACTAGTCATAACTTAAGAGAACATGTTTTCCAATCACATTTTAAAGAGAAATTGAACTGAAATTGCAAAAATTTAGGGGAAAAAATAATTTTTTTTAAATTTGTTATTTAACCCGATCAAAATTACACCGATCCTCATCAAAATTTCAACATAATAACTACAAAACTAGTTTATTGCCTTTTTCATGGATTTACTATTAAAGAATATATTTGATTGTCAAGTTCAATTTTTTTTAAACTCCTATTATACCGAATGAGACGAGTTTTCTTCGAGAAATGTTATTTATATCTAATAAATGTACAATTCTGGTTGGGATCGGTTTATTTTTCATCAGGATTGGCCAAACTTTAAAAAAATATGTTTCTGTAAAATTTAAAACTTTCATGCCCATTTCTTATAAAATATGATTAACAAACATGTTTTTCTCCAGTTGTGCCTAGTTTTAAGAATTTAAACACAAGTTAAAAAAAAAAATTATTTGTTTTATTTTAATTATTTTTTTTTTCTATTTCTAAAAATTTCTATTCGACTTTTCTCTACATATTTTATTAGGTATCCATGTGATGCATTGATTTATAGCAAATATTTTACAAGAAACATCTAATTTTGATGTAATTTTTTTTCCCCATTTTGTTAAAATAGGAAACTAATTCTATTAAATTATTAAGAGCTAATGTGTGCCTTTCAATGCAGAAACCATCATTTAAAAGGATTGAAACAGAGATCTATAAAATTAAAAGCTTTGGGGATATTCTTTGGGATTCTCCTTAAGCATTATCACAACCTTCACGTCAACCCCTTTGTTTCTTTGGCTGATTTATCTTTACTCATAGTCTTGCAATCAAAGGTTAAAATAATTTTATATTCTCAACCTCATATCTAAAGTCGCCCGGGTTGTGAAATGTTAGAGAAGGATATGGAGATAACGAGCAGTATTCAATCTCAAAGTCCATCAAACAATATACAAAATAAGAGCAGAGGAAACACGGACCTCCGAAACATCAGAGGTGGGATCAGATTCCATGGAGGAGTGAGCATCCCCTGCCGAGCGGTCACAACCGCCGTGTGCTCGTTGTCATGATCAGGAAATAATGGGGGGGGAGGAATCTGTCGTCAATTCAGTATATAAATAATGGACTAACAATTAATATGAAAAACTTCAGTCAGCATTTGACTGAGAGCGTCTTCTCTATAAATCGTGAAGTGAGGTGTTGATCCTGAACTCGATAGTTCGAATCCAACTGTGGGACATGTACACTGGTTCCTCTGGTGAGACCGTATAAACCGAAGTCCCGTGTCGCAGTAGGTGCTGGCATGAAAAAGATCCCTCCCTGCTCAGTAGTCCTGAGTGTCGAGTATAGTACAGAATATACTGCTCTCTACCAGCAAATGGTGACATCTCCATATGAGTGAACAATTTTCGAAAAATTCAATCAATCACTCACATATTTTACATTGTTCAGGAAGTTTTTAATAAAGTTTCTTTGAGGGAAAAAATCCACCCTATTCTGATAACTAGACCATCAGCTTTCATAGTATTTATCTAGAAACATCTTGCTAGATTTCAACATAATTTCTCCTCATTTAGGTTTTGAAAAATTGATCAAGTTCAATAACAAATCATTCCTTAACTAAATAAACTGATTGCTCAAATTTATTTCTTCAAAGTATGGAACTTTTGTCTTTACAAACAAACATCAACCTCCAGTTTTTTTTCTATATTCCAAATGAAATTTCTAACAAAATTAATTAAACATTTCTTTAATGTTCAATCAAATCATCATGTTCAAGACAAGATTTAACTTTATTTTAAAAAAATGTCCAAAAAACCGTCATGTTAAAACAAGCAATCAGCGTCATTTTAATTGAAACCCATTTTTCCTGATAAAGCTATGTTTTTGTTTTCATAACTTCTTCGCTTCGTTGACCATACGATATCGGTGTTTTCATCGTTGACTTGAAGGGATTTCATCATCCTCGATACATATATTCTGTCTCACTGGCGTATCTGTAAAACATTTTAAAAATTATACCTAAGAGTCCTAATTCTCTTTTTATCTTTTCTGTTTAAAGGAGATACTAAGATAAATAAAAAACAGCTTAAAAACTTTTTTACATTCCACTTAGAAACCATACATCAAGCATGAAAATCAGTCAATAACATTTTCACTATGAATATAGTTCAGTATTTTTTTTTTAAAATTGATATCATTGCATCTAATACAAGAGGCCCATGGGCCACATTGCTCACCTCAGCACTGTGGCTAGCATAAAAGCAAAAATTAGTTAATTATTGAAAAGTTTAAACCCAAAAAAGTCCCAACCATTCCTTAAAGGGGATAGGGTATGATTTGCACAAACCTGAGTCTAAACTTCCTGAGAATGCTTCCATATAAATATATGTATGACCAATTACATCTTTGCTATTCTCGACAAAATATTTAAAGAATTTTATTATATATTTCTATTTTAAACTTTGGTCAGCCAGTGTGGCCTTGCCCAACCACCGGGGGTGGTGGTTGAAACAAATTTGAATCTACACTAACTGAGAATGCTTCCGTATAAATATGATCAATCATGGCTTTGCTATTCTTTAGTTTTTAATACATTTTTCCTACATATTTCAATGTGAAACTTTGCTCGGTCATTGTGGACGCTGCCAAGCCCCGGGTGTCATGTCATGATTTGAACTTGAATCTACACTAACTGAGGATGCTTCCAAATAAATATGACCAATCATGGCTTTTTTATTCTTGGGAAGTTATTTAAAGAATTGTCCTCTATATTTCTTTTTAAAACAATGGTCAGTCATTGTGGCCCCGCCCTTCCCCTGGGGGTCATGATTTCTATAAACTTGAAGATACACTACCTGATGATGATTCCATATAAATATGACCAAACATGGCTTTGTTTTTTACTAGTTCATAATTATGTCCCCTTTGAAGGGGGCATAGCCCTTCATTTGAACAAATTTGAATCCCCTTAACTAAAACATACTTTGTGGCAAGTTTTGTTGAAATTGGCCCAGAAGTTCTTGAGAAGACGATGAAAATGTGAAAAGTTTACAGACTAACGGACAGACAGAGGGACATACAGACTGACAGACGGATGCCGGACAAGATGTGATCAGAAAAGCTCACTTAAGATTTCAGTTCAGGTGAGCTGATAAACTGATTCCAAAACCAAACCTAATTCTCTTATTTGAGGTTTTATTATCCTACCAACTACAACACTGCTTGTTGAAATTAAACTTATATTTTTGGTCTACCTTCATTCTTTCTGTCTTGCTTTAATTCCAAGTTCTCTTCTTTTCCTTGTTCGATTCCACTTGTGCTCGAGACAGGATCTGAAAATTTCAATTGTTCTTTGGAAGAAACCATTCATCAAGTATGGGAAACAGTCAGTTATATTTTCATCATAAATAAAGTTCAATAATTTTAATTTACATTAGTTTCATTGCATCTAGTTTAAACTGAACCCAAAACTTAACCTCTAATTTGGAGTTTTATCATCCTACCACCTACAACATTGGTTGTTGTCTTTTGAATGAAATAAAAAGAATTCATATAGTTTGATAACTAATTGTTGATAAGCTTTGGTCTACCTTCAATCTTTCCTTCTGGCTTTCCTTTCAAGTCCTCTTCTTTTCCTTGCTCCATACAACTTGTGGATGAGACAGGATCTGAAAATTTCATTTGTTCTTTTGAAGAAATCATTCATCAAGCATGAGAATCAGTTAATTATATTTTCACCATGAATATAGTTCAAACAATATTCTTTACATTAATTTCATTGCATAAAGTTTAAACCGAAACCAAATCAAAAACTCTAATTGGAGTTTTCTCATCCTACCAACTACCACATTGCTTGTTGTCCTTTGAATGAAATTAAACAGAATTCATAAAGTATGATAACTAATTGTTGATAAGTTTTGATCTACCTTCTATGTTCTTTTCTTGCTTTTCTTTCATCCCCTCTTTTCCAGGTTTAGAGAGTTGAGATTCATCTATTAATTAAATATAGTTTAACTTGAAATCTTCCTCATAATTATTACTTACTCATGTTTCTAAGCGAAGAAATTATTTGTTTTGGATCATCATTGTATGAAAATCTAATGAAGTAATCAGTATGTGCTTACATTATTCTGTTCTTTCAGTGAGAATTAAGGGGTAAATATATTAAGGTTAGGATTGAGGTTAAGATTAAGATTAAGGTTAGGGTTAGGGTTAATTTGATATAATGGTTTATGTAAAGATTTAAGTTTGGTACTAAGATCACATACAAAGTATGACTTGAGATTTAAAAGAAAACAGATTTACCACGGAATATATATATTTTGTGAATTAATTTTCACTTTAATACAGTTGACGTAAAAAAGTTTTCAAGAGAATTGTCTATTCCAATAAATTCCCCTCATGGACAAAGTCAATATTTCATGACTCATATTATCGGGTCAAGAGAAGATATTTATTTATTTGCATGTTTCATTACGCAATTTTTACACTTCGGATCAGGGTCTTCACTGTGACCTTTTCAATACGGTATTACTTATATCTTCAACTTAAGTCATTTTCTCTTATTTATATCTCTAATTTTGATGATCGTTAAAACTAGTTTATTTCTTATTAAATCGGTCATTTTTCAACCACATATTGAAGTTTGTTCTCATTCTAAGAAAATATTTTAATCTCCAGCATTAAAAAAAGATTCCTTTTCCTCTATTCCACTTACCGGGTTCTTCGACTTTCTTTGACATCTTCCTACTGTCTCGTTTAGTAAAATGGCGGCTCAAACCTACAAGTATGCACGTGACAATAAAAATAGAAATGACGTAAAGGTTCTAGAACTCTCTATGGTAAAATATCTATCACTAAAACTGGACCTACAATTATCACGTGATTTTTTTTGGCATTGACAAGATGCAACTGAGTTACAATAAAAGCCCCATTACCCTACCCCTAACAAAGAGTAAAAGCTGCATCAATATGCTAATAAACATTCTTTAGAGTAAGAGTTGTACCAAACTGCATAATAGAAAAGAGGGGTTTGGGAGCGGCAGAGAATTATTCTTGTTATACGAAATGAAATTATTATTTTTTTTTATTGTAACACTTCCTTCCTTGTGATTTCAATAATCTCTCTATATATCCAAACAAATGATTTCGAAGCAAGCTTTGGACAAAAGGGTATAAAATCTCAATATATACTAATATTTGACTCGAAAAGATCTGTAATTAATCAGCGACTTTCATCTTAAAAAAATAATAAAAAGAGCTATAAAATGAACGATCCCATCGGGAATCGAACCCGGCACCCCTTAATCTGAAGTCCGCTGTTCTACCTACTGAGCCAAAGTGTATGATGGAAATGACAAAATAAACTTTAATAGTTTCGCTACACAAAGTATTTAAATTAGAAAAACAATAACCACGCCTACTGAAATCACGTGACAGAAAGTGACATTGACGAGATGGCTCCGGAGCAATCTTCGTAAAACCCCCTATACCCTAACCCTAACCCTAACCCTAACCCTAACCCTAACCCTAACCCTAACCCTGTTACTTCTATTCATGACATGACAAGAAAAGACAACTCAGAGAGATGAAAAAATCCACTTTAATCTTTGTACATTAAATTGACAAGACATCAGCTCCGTTTAAAAACTAGTGCAGGCCACTAATTATTTCATCACATAAACCTTTCGCTGTGTATAGCGTGGTCCGCTGTAGACGCACTCGCAGGCTTTGTGTATAGGATGCCATCCGCAACAGGTGTGAAATGCTTAGGTCAACACTTTGAGCGCGCGCCGACTTTGAATAGGGTAAGCGCATAGTTTCACAGACAGTGGAAAAAAAGAAGACGTGAAAAAGGTAGGCCAAATAATTCATCGTTAGGTTATTAAGATATTATTTAAAAATGAATATTATTGTTGCGAAATTGAAGTTGTATATAATGTAAAATTAACATACACGTGGAATCTTTAGCGAGACACAAATTTAGCCATTTCTTTTAACCCCAGGGTTACATAAGATATTTGCCTTTTTTGGCTATTTTTTTCCTCCTTATAAATCATTTTGTATTTGATAAAACAGAAAAAAAAAAAAAATAAAATAAAATAAAATAATCTTCATTACACAGGAATAATCGAAAAATCAAACAAATATTGGACCTCTGCTCAGAGGTACATAGCATTTTAGGTGATTTTTTTCTAGGTCCCAACAAATATACATTTTTCTTGTATTTCTTAAAAATACAAGAAATAAAAGTGAAATTAGGCTTTCTTTTCCTTCGTCTAAGTTAACCGTGCAAATATAAAGCAACCAATTTCTATTTGATATGTAATCGACAAAAATAAGGACATGTCTGGTGTCGCGACATGTCCAAATCACTGAAGTCGTTCTTAATTTGTTGCGACATGAGTTTACGACTAACCGAGCATTGCGAACAAGTAGTAACATGCTATGTTTTGTAAAGTTCTCACATACCATGCATTGTTGCAATTAAATTAGAACATTTCAATCTCAAGATATTTCAAGTTGAAAACGGTCAACAAATCTCATTCTGTTACTTTTTAAGTACAATCTTTGGTTTTAATTAAAATCCATGTTTTCACCCTTTCTGGCTACCTGCACTTTAAAACTCTCTCATAGTCTTATTGTCCGTTTTCTTACCTTTCCAACGACACCAAACTCGTCTTAATCCGATAATAAATAAGAGAGTTATGAGCTTCGGAAAATTCCACTATTTCCTTTGCTATGACTTCTATCCATGACTTTCACTTTCACTTTCTTTGACCTAATTCCGGCATGACCTAATTCCGGCAACTTCGTTTTCTGCCCATACCCTAACCCTAACCCAAACCCAACCCTAACCCTAACCCTAACCCAACCCTAAGCCTAACCCTAACACTAACCCTAACCCCCACTAATCCTAACCCTAACCCTAACCCCACTAACCCTAACCCTAACCCTGACTAACCCTAACCCTAACCCCCCACTAACCCTAACCCCACTAACCCTAACCCCCACTAACCCTAACCCCACTAACCTTAACCCTACTAACCCTAACCCCCATTAACCCTAACCCCCACTAACCCTAACCCCCACAAATCCTGACTTTAACCCCTGCAAACACTTACTTTTCGTTTTTGGCTCATATCTTTCGACAGACTGCTCCGATGTTAACGTTCTGGGTGTCGTTGGAAAGGTCTTCAAGAGCTCTTTACGATGATGTCATGAACGTGTCAGTTCAGAGAGCCAAAAGTTGAATAACAAGCGATTTTCTTGATATGCTTGCAAACGGCAGAAGATCTTTATTTCGTTATGGATTTTCAAGTTCCTGGGCTTGTCAGAAAGCTCTTGACAACGTCTATCCATAGCCATAACGGTCAGAACAATTTACGACTTTTCGCGAGGCTTCCTAGAGCAAATATTGCCTAGGTGTACCCACGCTGCTGAGACATACATCTTTCAACCCTCGCAACTTTTTTCGTCTTTAACCTTTAATAACCATCTTCACGTTGTTGACAGAACTTGCCAAGACCTTTTCAATGACACCAAGAGTTTGTAAATCGCATGAAAACGAAGAGAGATACGGACCTTTCAATTTGGCGTCAATTTACCACCCCTTCTGAGCAGTTTTTGGTCATTTCAGAAAGAAGGATTGAGGTAAGCATTTCAAGACCTACTTGACCTTTCATGGGAAGAGAAGTTCCCTTTCCTCCCAAATTCTCGACTTCCGCCGACGTCGCCTTCCTGTCCAACTGGAATTACAGCACATTTTCTTCAAATGCCCATAGGTTGCATGCCCTTGAGGCACTGAGGCTGAGCTTTGGTATGTGGATTCCTTGACCTCTACACAACTTTCGAAATACAAATCATTTGGGGGTCTAGCTCGCACCCTTTTCCAGTTAGAAGCCGAAAAAGAACTTGGTGCAAAACGGAAATTCGCCTTCATTCCCAGCCAAATCCCTTTTCTCGGCACTTGAAAAACTCTCATTGAGACTTCCTCAGCAACGTCCAGGTTGTCGAGATCTGACCACGATAACCCGTCCAACCCCTCTTTCAAATTTTCGAAGACTTTGCTACATTTTCCTCCTCTTTAGTCTTTCATATCTTAAGAGAGAGAAACTATTTTTGCTTACTCTTTGTGGCTTCTAGGAGTCCCTATCGAGGTCTATTACTGACATAAATTTGGTGTTTCAATTTCCTTTACTGTTACTTCTATTCATGACATGACAAGAAAAGACAACTCAGAGAGATGAAAAAATCCACTTTAATCTTTGTACATTAAATTGACAAGACATCAGCTCCGTTTAAAAACTAGTGCAGGCCACTAATTATTTCATCACATAAACCTTTCGCTGTGTATAGCGTGGTCCGCTGTAGACGCACTCGCAGGCTTTGTGTATAGGATGCCATCCGCAACAGGTGTGAAATGCTTAGGTCAACACTTTGAGCGCGCGCCGACTTTGAATAGGGTAAGCGCATAGTTTCACAGACAGTGGAAAAAAAGAAGACGTGAAAAAGGTAGGCCAAATAATTCATCGTTAGGTTATTAAGATATTATTTAAAAATGAATATTATTGTTGCGAAATTGAAGTTGTATATAATGTAAAATTAACATACACGTGGAATCTTTAGCGAGACACAAATTTAGCCATTTCTTTTAACCCCAGGGTTACATAAGATATTTGCCTTTTTTGGCTATTTTTTTCCTCCTTATAAATCATTTTGTATTTGATAAAACAGAAAAAAAAAAAAAATAAAATAAAATAAAATAATCTTCATTACACAGGAATAATCGAAAAATCAAACAAATATTGGACCTCTGCTCAGAGGTACATAGCATTTTAGGTGATTTTTTTCTAGGTCCCAACAAATATACATTTTTCTTGTATTTCTTAAAAATACAAGAAATAAAAGTGAAATTAGGCTTTCTTTTCCTTCGTCTAAGTTAACCGTGCAAATATAAAGCAACCAATTTCTATTTGATATGTAATCGACAAAAATAAGGACATGTCTGGTGTCGCGACATGTCCAAATCACTGAAGTCGTTCTTAATTTGTTGCGACATGAGTTTACGACTAACCGAGCATTGCGAACAAGTAGTAACATGCTATGTTTTGTAAAGTTCTCACATACCATGCATTGTTGCAATTAAATTAGAACATTTCAATCTCAAGATATTTCAAGTTGAAAACGGTCAACAAATCTCATTCTGTTACTTTTTAAGTACAATCTTTGGTTTTAATTAAAATCCATGTTTTCACCCTTTCTGGCTACCTGCACTTTAAAACTCTCTCATAGTCTTATTGTCCGTTTTCTTACCTTTCCAACGACACCAAACTCGTCTTAATCCGATAATAAATAAGAGAGTTATGAGCTTCGGAAAATTCCACTATTTCCTTTGCTATGACTTCTATCCATGACTTTCACTTTCACTTTCTTTGACCTAATTCCGGCATGACCTAATTCCGGCAACTTCGTTTTCTGCCCATACCCTAACCCTAACCCTAACCCTAACCCTAACCCTAACCCTAACCCTAACCCTAACCCTGACCCTGACCCTAACCCTAACCCTAACCCTAACCCTAACCCTAACCCTAACCCTAACCCTGACCCTGACCCTAACCCTAACCCTAACCCTCACCCTGACCCTGACCCTGACCCTAACCCTAACCCTAACCCTAACCCTAACCCTAACCCTAACCCTAACCCTAACCCTGATCCTGACCCTAACCCTAACCCTGACCCTGACCCTAACCCTGACCCTAACCCTAACCCTAAACCCGGGTATATCTTGGGTTAAACCCAGGTATAACCCGAGTTAAACCCGGGTATAACTCGGGTTAAACCCGGGTATAACCCGGGTTAAACCCGGGTATACCCTGGGTTAAACCCGGGTATACCCTGGGTTAAACCCGGGTATACCTAGGGTATACCCGAGTACACTGGTGTGCATACTCAGCATCATTTGAAGTTTACTTAAATGACCTTAATTTCAATCAATATGTTCTTATTGTATAATTTAAAGGAATATATCCTAATTAACCATTGAAAATACACTTTAAATTACCAGGTACTATTGAAGAACATAAAAAAAATATACATAAACTTTGTCCTCTTAAACACAAAAAATTCATTATACTTCCGTAAATTTTTAATGCAAAAATAAGGCAAGATTATGCATTACTTCCTTAAAAAAGATGCCGTTGCTTACTCAAACAATACATGATAATTAGCAATTAAAAAAATCAAATGAAATATTACCTTACATCAAGAAAATCACCCATTAAAAACACAACAGTGTATGAACGTCCAAATCGAAAGAAATTCTGCAAGAAAACACCTACTTTCACAATGAAATGATTGACAATCACGTGATAAAATAGGCGGAGTCCCGCAATCCCGCACCCGCAACACGTCAAAGTGCCCTTACCCTAACCTAACCCTAACCCTGATCCTGACCCTAACCCTAACCCTGACCCTGACCCTAACCCTGACCCTAACCCTAACCCTAAACCCGGGTATATCTTGGGTTAAACCCAGGTATAACCCGAGTTAAACCCGGGTATAACTCGGGTTAAACCCGGGTATAACCCGGGTTAAACCCGGGTATACCCTGGGTTAAACCCGGGTATACCCTGGGTTAAACCCGGGTATACCTAGGGTATACCCGAGTACACTGGTGTGCATACTCAGCATCATTTGAAGTTTACTTAAATGACCTTAATTTCAATCAATATGTTCTTATTGTATAATTTAAAGGAATATATCCTAATTAACCATTGAAAATACACTTTAAATTACCAGGTACTATTGAAGAACATAAAAAAAATATACATAAACTTTGTCCTCTTAAACACAAAAAATTCATTATACTTCCGTAAATTTTTAATGCAAAAATAAGGCAAGATTATGCATTACTTCCTTAAAAAAGATGCCGTTGCTTACTCAAACAATACATGATAATTAGCAATTAAAAAAATCAAATGAAATATTACCTTACATCAAGAAAATCACCCATTAAAAACACAACAGTGTATGAACGTCCAAATCGAAAGAAATTCTGCAAGAAAACACCTACTTTCACAATGAAATGATTGACAATCACGTGATAAAATAGGCGGAGTCCCGCAATCCCGCACCCGCAACACGTCAAAGTGCCCTTACCCTAACCCTAACCCTAACCCTAACCCTAACCCCTAACCCCTAACCCTAACCCTAACCCTAACCCTAACCCTAACCCTAACCATGTTGGAAAGCAAAAAAATATGCTCTCATACTCATTAAGTAAAATAAATATGAATAAAGAGTAAAAAACCTGTAGAAAACCAAAGTAAAACCCATCGTATACCTAGGTTTCACAATAATATTCACCCTGTATCACGGCCAAGTTTTCCCTGGGTTATACCCGGGTTTAACATGGGTTAAACCCGTGTATATCTTGGGTTATACTCGGGTTTATCATGGGTTAAACCCAGATATATCCTTGATTATACCTGGGTTATACCCGGGTATATCCTGGGTTTAACCCTTGATTATCCTGGGTTTAACCCTTGATTATCCTGGGTTAAACCCGGGTATATCTTGGGTTAAACCCAGGTATAACCCGGGTTAAACCCGGGTATAACCCGGGTTAAACCCGGGTATACCCTGGGTTAGACCCGGGTATACCCTGGGTAAAACCCGGGTATACCCTGGGTTAAACCCGGGTATATCTAGGGTATACCCGAGTACACTGGTGTGCATACTCAGCATCATTTGAAGTTTACTTAAATGACCTAAATTTCAATCAATATGTTCTTATTGTGTAATTAAAAGGAATATATCCTAATTAACCATTGAAAATACACTTTAAATCACCAGGTACTATTGAAGAACACAAAAAAATATACATAAACTTTGTCCTCTTAAACACAAAAAATTCATTATACTTCCGTTAATTTTTAATGCAAAAATAAGGCAAGATTATGCATTACTTCCTTAAAAAAGATGCCGTTGCTTACTCAAACAATACATGATAATTAGCAATTAAAAAAATCAAATGAAATATTACCTAACATCAAAAAAATCACCCATTAAAAACACAACAGTATATAAACGTCCAAATCGAAAGAAATTCTGCAAGAAAACACCTACTTTCACAATGAAATGATTGACAATCACGTGATAAAATAGGCGGAGTCCCGCAATCCCGCACCCGCAACACGTCAAAGTGCCCTTACCCTAACCCTAACCCTAACCCTAACCCTAACCCCTAACCCCTAACCCCTAACCCTAACCCTAACCCTAACCCTAACCCTAACCATGTTGGAAAGCAAAAAAATATGCTCTCATACTCATTAAGTAAAATAAATATGAATAAAGAGTAAAAAACCTGTAGAAAACCAAAGTAAAACCCATCGTATACCTAGGTTTCACAATAATATTCACCCTGTATCACGGCCAAGTTTTCCCTGGGTTATACCCGGGTTTAACATGGGTTAAACCCGTGTATATCTTGGGTTATACTCGGGTTTATCATGGGTTAAACCCAGATATATCCTTGATTATACCTGGGTTATACCCGGGTATATCCTGGGTTATACCCGGGTATATCCTGGGTTTAACCCTTGATTATCCTGGGTTAAACCCGGGTATATCTTGGGTTAAACCCAGGTATAACCCGGGTTAAACCCGGGTATACCCGGGTTTATAACCCGGGTTAAACCCGGGTATAACCCGGGTTAAACCCGGGTATACCCTGGGTTAGACCCGGGTATACCCTGGGTAAAACCCGGGTATACCCTGGGTTAAACCCGGGTATATCTAGGGTATACCCGAGTACACTGGTGTGCATACTCAGCATCATTTGAAGTTTACTTAAATGACCTAAATTTCAATCAATATGTTCTTATTGTGTAATTAAAAGGAATATATCCTAATTAACCATTGAAAATACACTTTAAATCACCAGGTACTATTGAAGAACACAAAAAAATATACATAAACTTTGTCCTCTTAAACACAAAAAATTCATTATACTTCCGTTAATTTTTAATGCAAAAATAAGGCAAGATTATGCATTACTTCCTTAAAAAAGATGCCGTTGCTTACTCAAACAATACATGATAATTAGCAATTAAAAAAATCAAATGAAATATTACCTAACATCAAAAAAATCACCCATTAAAAACACAACAGTATATAAACGTCCAAATCGAAAGAAATTCTGCAAGAAAACACCTACTTTCACAATGAAATGATTGACAATCACGTGATAAAATAGGCGGAGTCCCGCAATCCCGCACCCGCAACACGTCAAAGTGCCCTTACCCTAACCCTAACCCTAACCCTAACCCTAACCCTAACCCGGCTCAAACCTACAAGTATGCACGTGACAATAAAAATAGAACTGACGTAAAGGTTCTAGAACTCTCTATGGTAAAATATCTATCAGAAAACTGGACCTACAATTATCACGTGATTTTTTTTGGCATTGACAAGATGCAACTGAGTTACAATAAAAGCCCCATTAGCCTACCCCTAACAAAGAGTAAAAGCTGCATCAATATGCTAATAAACATTCTTTAGAGTAAGAGTTGTACCAAACTGCATGATAGAAAAGAGGGGTTAGGGAGCGGCAGTGAATTATTCTTGTTATACGAAATGAAATTATTATTTTTTTTATTGTAACACTTCCTTCCTTGTGATTTCAATAATCTCTCTATATATCCAAACAAATGATTTCGAAGCAAGCTTTGGACAAAAGGGTATAAAATCTCAATATATACTAATATTTGACTCGAAAAGATCTGTAATTAATCAGCGACTTCCATCTTAAAAAAAAATAAAAAGAGCTATAACATGAACGATCCCATCGGGAATCGAACCCGGCACCCCTTAATCTGAAGTCCGCTGTTCTACCTACTGAGCCAAAGTGTATGATGGAAATGACGAAATAAACTTTAATAGTTTCGCTACACAAAGTATTTAATAACCACGCCTACTGAAATCACGTGACAGAAAGTGACATTGACGAGATGGCTCCGGAGCAATCTTCGTAAAACCCCCTATACCCTAACCCTAACCCTAACCCTAACCCTAACCCTAACCCTAACCCTAACCTAACCCTAACCCTAACCCTAACCCTAACCCTAACCCTAACCCTAACCCTTGTTAACAAACCAAGAGGACTTGGATGCCAGAAGATCTGATAAAAGTTCCTCCCCAAGCCTTTTAATACAAAACAGTGTGCTAATAAGGCACCCAAGCCTCCCTGACAGTCCTTAGGGCACAGATGTACAGAAGATATTCTTAAAGCACTTGACGGTATCAACAACATTAAGCATGGCTTCTACCCATGTTCAAACATTTGAAACCTATTACCATGACCCACACTTCCCTTTGTCGACTTCAAATTATGGATGTTAACAGAGAGGCCAACAAGACTTTGATGCCAAATGATCTGATAAAAGTACATAGCCTAGCCATTCCAAACAAAACAGAGTGTTACACAAGATGAAAAGGCCCTCCCAACAGTCTTTGTGGCACAGAAGGATAATAAATACTCATAAAATAGTGTCGCCAATCTCAAAAGCATTGTAAATGGCTTGA